AATCAAGGATATTTCAAACATAGAGAACAAAGATTTTTTTTTTTTTTTTTTTCGTCAAATATTTTGTCAAATTGTTCGATAAGATTTTTAAGAAAAGCAAGAAGAAAATAACAAATGGCAGAGGAAAAAGATTTCCATTGCTCGCCATTGCTTTATCGGAGGTCCAAAGAAGGCCGAGGAAACGGGGAAAAAAGGAAATCGATATTTGGACCCCCCAAGAGTACGTGTTATGTACGCTCCTGTCGACTAAATTGCGATCGCTCTGGGAAAAAGGCAGCCCGGAAATTTCACCATGCCCTTCGTCGTTGATTCCATCGAAAGAAATATTGAGAAATATCCTGTGGTGCTTGATCAACGCATTTTTCGAGAAAAATTGATTTATTTGATTGAAATACATGTGCGATTTTAATTGATCCTTTGCAAAAATTAAGTCATTTTAAGTAAAATTAAGATATATTGCATGAAAAATCATATAGAAATCTATAAGTCTTAAATGCATTACGATTATCATCTTTTAGTGATTGATATACTTTCATCTATCTCCTAATGACTTATAAAGCAAGAGACTGAAACTAAGAAACGGTTTATGCGTTGTAAAAAAAAGAAATTTACTAATTTTCATTTATATTTCACGTTATATGAACAGCATCGTTTAAAATAATTTTGCTAAATATAATAAGAAAATTAAAAAATTAGATAATTTTCGCTCCTAAAAATTTAACAAATTTAATACTTTTATCGAATTTTTTCTTTCCACAAAAATTCTTTTTTCCTGAAATTATAATTTAAAGAAAACGAATATTACATAATGGAAAATTATCCTCTATAATAAATTCTGAGAAACTGTCGTTATCCGATGGCATAAATGTAAGTTCGTCCCGTATGCTTATATCCTTTCCCTTTTATATCCTATTCCATCGCGTGATATCGCAACAAAACGGAGCGAGGCGATGCGAAGAGACAACCGGGCATATTTTCACCCTAAAGATGCGAGTCGAGGGAGTAGAAGATATTTATACGCATCCTTCGTGCCGCATTTCGAATGTACCCTTCCTAATCTATCGATATATCGTGTCTTCTACCATTTTCTTCCTTTTCCTCTTTAGCGCAAAAAAAAATAGATCTATTGAAAGAAACAATTCCTTATTATTTAATTGACTCACCATAATCGATATTACAATGCGGCAAAAATATATATATTCGAGTAAAACAAGATACAAATAATAAGAAAAATTAGCAAATAATAAAAAAAATAAAATAAAATAAAATCGTCGAATTGATTCATAGCGTTTTCCTTTCTTCTTTACTCTTATTCTTCCGCAAGAAAAAGGAGTCGCGCCACGAAATGCGGTCACGCGATGTCCACGATCTTGAGTAATGATTTTTATTTATTTATCTTCCGCCCGGTTAGAAAATACGGGCATCTGCCTCCAGGATCACGAAGAAAATTATCGATATTGCGGCTGCGTAAATTACATCGATGGAGGTAAGTGAGAAAATTCTATTACGTTAACACGCGCCTCGTGCACAAAAAGTTAGGTGTACACACGCTCATACAAATTGCATGGCAAAAGATTTATCCGCGACGAGATAATAGCAACGATATTACCGATCGATCGATCGTTATTTTTATCCCAGTTTATCGGTACCTTAGCTAGGCATAAAATTGCATTACTTAAACGGATCAGTGGCCGTAAGTAGTCTCCATTTGCGGAACGATATTAGCTTAAGGGAGAAGTAGAGCAATTCTTAAGGATGGTTAGCTACTCTCCCTATTTCTTTCCGTGCATAGTCACGACGTTGCACGATTTATCGTTTGTTGCCAGATCTAGACTGATCAATCGCAGATTCCCGTAGTCATAGTTTCCTCGCAGATCATGTACAATCGAAAAAATGTTCGATGAAAATTGCTATCTTGATACACTTCTTTTTTTTTTTTTTTCGAATTCGATAAGATTCAGCTACATTTGACACGTTTATTGTTTATAATATAAATAAGAACTAGAAATGTAATTAATTGATTTTTCGAATAAAAACATAAAAATATAACAATACTTGTCTTTTTAAAACATTTACACGTAACTTAGTTAATTTTATAAATTTGAACAAATCTTCTATAGAGTCTCGAAAAGTTAAAGAAAAATATAAAAAAAAAGGAAATTGATTTTTTAAAAAAACTTTAAAGATCACATCCAGACATTTTATGTTTTTCTTCGACAGCTCGGTAGCTCGTTCGATATTTTTTTAAACATTTATAGGAAAACGTGATATCCAAACGCGTCCCTACTACTCCTTCGAAATACACATTCGCAGTAACTTGTTTCAGACTGCTGATAAATAGTTCACTCGTTCGGTAAAGTCGAGACAGGGATGTGAGAGGAGAAGGGTAGGCAAGAGACACTCTACACAAGTACGAATGACGGGGTAAAGAGATGTGGAGCTTAAATCTTTGATGCCTTTACGTTGCTCTGTTCTCTCTCGGTTATTCTTTCTCTATTCCAGCGCGCAAAAACCAACGTATGGAACAGAGTGTTGAGAAACGTCGACGTCGAATAGCGAAACTTTTCCTAATCAATAACTGAGAAGAACTAGTTTTTCTAGGAGAGTTTCTTTTACAGAAATTTTTCTAAAGAAATTCGATAGTCGAAAATGACGAAAGGAAACGCACTAAAAAAATTATAACCTAAAATATACAGATTCTATAATAATCTATAGTCTATGACTCGTTGAGAGTTCATAAAAGTGTTCATACACGCAAATGAGAGACGAAGGGCGTAAAGTTTATAAAGTTTTTAATATTATTTATAAATCTCCTTCTCCCAAATTTGTATGTTATTGATATTTTAAAGACTGTACGCATTTGATGAATATTACATTGTTTAAATTTCAAATTAGGTTAGGTTTTAAATTTTAAATTAAGATTACAACAAAAAAATTATTTAAAATGGATTCATGGAAAATAAAACAACCACTGCTCTAATCTAGCTGCGTTAGCCATCTCTCTCGGATATACGGGACATCTGACCCGACAGAAATTTTTAAAGCAGACGAAAAAAGAGCAAAGAAATGGCTCGTATCTTCGGTTTAGTGCCGCCGGTACACACCACTACCGTCACCAATCTTTTAAAAATACATAGGTTGGAATATCACTCCAGTCGAGCGTATCTTCTGAATTGCGCTTTTACCCCGATTAACACTTACACCCGCTTAATTAAAAATCGAAGGTCGTCATATTTAGGATAAAAACTTTCTACGTGAGATACTTGATTGCGTCGTCGATAAAGATTTTTCTAAATTATAGGATAATCTTATGAAAAAAATTTGATTTACTCTATTTGAGATTAGAGAAATAATTGAATCCCCTGTAATAGGAATTTTATTCGGTTAAAAAAATGAAAATTATAATTGAATTTAAATTTTTTAATGTTAATTTGAAAATTAAAATATTAAATTAAGATACTATATAATATGGAAAAAACGTATTATAAATAATTAAAATAAATTTAAAAAAATGTAAATGTAAATATACGTAATTTCTAAGCTGGGTAAAACTTTGTATATGTACAGAAAAAATTTTTTTGCACTATTTATAAAAGTTAAAGAATTAAAAATAATAGATTAACAATTATGTATAGCAATTTCTTAATTCAACATTTTCAAATCTAAATATATTTTTTTTATAAACCGAAAAATTTTATTGAAATTTATATTTTGAAACTCTGTTCACAAATTGCTTTATATAAAGACTAAGAGAAATATTAATTTTGTTTTTCTTATAAGGTAATCCTCTTAAAGATAATCATATAAGTACCTCTTTCGATTATAATGATAAAAAAATATTTTGTATAAAATGAAAAGTAAAATATACTATAAAAAATATTTTTATGCCAATATCACCATTTTTTTTTTTTGCGTCATTAATATAAATATATTATTACTATTTTTTTTTTTTGTATATAATAGCATTAAAATACATTCATATATTCAATACAATGATATGATTTTGAAGTGACTTTTAACTTTAAAATTAAAATTAAAATTAGTTAAAAAGTTAAAATTAGCGTAAAATCTATTTTCAAATATTTTAAAATACATAATCTTTAAATGAGATAAAGAGTAAGAATTTGCAAGGGAATATAAATTAATTAATTAATATTAATATTCTAGAAAACTTGATCATTATTAAATATAAAACATCTATCGCTCACTTTTTTTTAATTATCATATTAAGTATTCAAAATAATGTCTTTACACATTATGCGTTGTTTGAAATCAGTAATAAAAAATTATAATGATTCTTCGATCTTTTCAATTATTTATAACAGCATAATATATAATTATTCTTTCTTTCATGACATTATAAGTTAAAGGTTATAAATATTTTATTTTAATTTTAATAATAAAAAAATACATTGACGTAATCTAGTAATGTTATAATTCCATTACAATCAACGATTTGCAAATTTTTTATTTTTTTTTTTTTTGAAATCGTTCTCTGTTTATGCATATAT